AAATAAAATTAAAAAAAAAAACATGTAGCTGAAACATAATGGACCAGGCTAATTCCTAAAGTCACTCATGTATTGCTTTGGTAGGATTGTGGGCAAAATATAGATAACATCTGTCTAGGAGGCTTGTGCCAGTGCCAAGGGTAGGGCAGGGGTCTTGGAATAACTGCTCTTGATTGATGCCAGCCATGGGAAACAGCCACAGCAAGCTCTTCTCAGAGCCTGATTTTTTCCCTACAATCTCAGCTCTCTGACATCTGTGGGCCTCATAATGTCAGATTTTGGCACCGCATTCTTTCCTGGTGTGGAGCAATAGTATAATTTGATTTTGAAATTTTGGATTAACATTGCTGTTTGGGGATTTATGGTTCTTTGGTTTGTTTGTGTTTTAATGAAGAGCATCCATTTATCTTTGTGACTATTTGGATTCCCAGTAAAACATTTTCTGTAGGTTCCATATTATTTTTCTGAAAAGAGTAGTCAAGTATTCTTTTAGAATTCTAGATATGGTAAATAGGAATCTAGATGTAGTTTATTGGCATAGTTGTTAGTCTTATTTTGGAAGTACTAATAACTTAGTATTCAGGGATTCCTGGGCCTGGGAGATATTAGATATTAGAAGTCCTTAAGTTTAACCTCTGACCTCACTGTTGTAACATCAGGGGGCCTTAAAAAAGTTCAAGATGCTATGGTACAGACATACAGGTGGGTAAAGTAACTACAAGCTATATATATATATATAATTTTCAGCAAAGAAGTCATAGTAACTTTTTAAAAAATAAAATCATGTTAATATACATGATAGGAGATAAATATATACATAATGAGAATAGTAGTTACTATAGTGGAACAAGTAAGTGTATACATTCTGTCTCATATACCACTTGGCCATTTTTATATCTTTGGAGAAATGTCTCTTTGGGTCCTCTTTTTAATTGGGTTATGTGTTTTCTTGCTATTGAGTTATATGGGTTTTTATAAATCTTGAGTATTAACTCTTCATTAGATACATGGTCTACAAGTATTTCTTCTCTATCTCATAGTTTGCCTTTTCATTTTGTGATTGGTTCCTTTGCTATGTCAATTTTTAGTTTGATGTAGTCCCACTTTATATTTTTGCATTGGTAGCCTGAGCTTTTGGTGTGATATCCAAGAAGACACTACCAAGACCAAGGTCAGAGAGCTTTTCTTTATGTTTTCTTCTACGAGTTTTATGGGCTCAGGTCTTGCCTTTAGGTCATTTATCTACTTTGAGTTGAGTTTTGGGGATGGTATAAAATAAGGATCCCATTTCATTATTTTGTGTGTAGAAATTCAAGCAAATCTCCCAGCACTGATAATGAAGACACTACCCTTTCACCTTGGTCTTCATGGTGCCCTTGTGGAAAAGTAATTGGCTATGGTAGTTTGGATTTACTTTGGCCCTCTCCATTCTGTTAGAGTAATGGGCTATTAATTTTAAAAGTACAGTGTATCCAAAAAAGGAGGATCAAGATGGAAAGAAGACTAAAACTAAGAGCTGGAATGGAGTCTAGAGGAGAAACAATTTAGCAGGGTAGGAATGGTAATTGTTTTGATTTATCTGGATAGTTCTCAAGTGGTAGAATGTTTGTTTTACTTTGTCTTGGTGGTTCTAAGAACAGAAAATAATAAGAAAAATTATTATGGAAGATTGTATCTCCAAGCTGAGAACTAAGACTTAGGTCAATATTAACTAATCTACTTTAGTATAAAGAAGAAATGCCAATATTTGCCATGGTTAATGACATAGTAAAAATTCTAAATTATAAGTAACACTCCCATTTTACAGATAAAGTGTTTGAGTACAGGGACTATATTATTCCTAAGACCGTACAAGGTGCCTGCCACCCATCAAACTCTTGTTCATTTTTGATGTATGAAACCCTTTAAAATAATTTGCATTTACTGTGCTGTGTGGCTTGAATTGCATAGTATATATGTGGGGTGATTGAAAATAAAGTGAGTGTTTATATTGTAAAACATACTTATTACAGTAAAAGACACATTGCCAGGAATGATAGGGTGTGATCAAAGGGCAAGGAACTAGTTTGAGCATTTTGAGGAGAATTAATGCTGTTTGTGTTTTTTGTTGTAATAATTTTTTTGAAACTTAAACATTCACTCATCTGACTTTAAGATGTCATTTCTTTTTTCTGGAAAAAAATGTTAGAGCTAAAATGTCCTTGCCCCATCTTTTTTGTTGTTGTTGTTCTCTTCTCTTTATCTCATGGATTGTTGTAAAATGCTTACATTCAGTGTCAGCATATTAGTCATAACCTTTTATTGCTATTGATATCTATAAGTGCGTTAAGTAAATCTTCATTTTGCTGACCTCTTTGCGGGTGCACGGCATCAGCAGATTCTCTCTTCCAGTGGACAGGTGAGAGATGAGCAGGATCAAGTCAATTTTTTCCCCCCTTGCTTTGTTTCTTCCTGAGCCGGAAGATTCATTGTCTAGCAAGAGAGAAGCTGGGTTAGAGGGTTTGTCTTAGAGTTAATGGCTGAAAGGGAACGTGTAAAGTACACAGCCTGTTTGAGCCGGGGCCAGGAGGTACGATGGCAGGAGGATTTTTTTTTTTTTTCAAATTGTTTTTGCAAACCAGTTATTTTGATGCAAGCAGATTGATAGCATAGTAATTAATAACTCAAGAGTTCTTCAGCATGGAAGTTGGTGTGTTGATCATTTCAGATGGCAGCTTCCTCTTCCCCTCTGAGATCAGCGAGGCTGCTCTGCCAGGTGGATTTGCACTGTAAGCTGAGGAAAGAATCTGCCAGTTCCCCAGGAGACAAGTTCTTAGCTTTATTGGTTGACCTGCAGACTCCCTGACACCATGTCATGAGTCCCATCCTGGTTCTGTGGTATCTGAAAGTGCAGATGCGCATGCCTTCCTGAGAGCGGCAGGGGTGTGAATGACAGGGACACAAAGACTTTCCTCTTGCAAGTATTTTTTTAATTTTTTTTGTCTTCTGATCATTTCCCTGTCTGTGCTTTGCAGGAAACTGGGTCTCTTGAAGAATCTACGGATGAGTCTGAGGTAAGGTGGTGGTGATTCAGGAGCCTTAAGGTTTGTCATTGACTGTGGGCCTGTCAGGAGCTCTCTGTGCTTTGCCAAGTGCAACAGGGCCAGCAGGTGGCTGAAGTAGGGCTGTGAAGAGGAGCGCTGGGGAGGAGCTTGCCAGTTAGCTGTAAAAGTATCAAATGGATAAGCTTAAAAACTAAACAGAAAGAGAAACAAGTTTTTCTCATCAACCTGCCCAATATTTTAACTTGAAGTGTGTGGATACTGGAAAAATTGATGCAAAGTTTTCAACAATATCAACACTTTATTTCATTTTTTATTTTTATTTTATTTTTTGGTGGAACTACGGATTGAATTTAGTTCCTTGTGCTGGCCAGGCAAGTGCTTATTCTACTGAGCCATCTCCCTGGCCCCAATCTCAACACTTATAAATAAATATAACCTTTGAAAATTTTTTATCCATTATATGTTTTACAGTTTTCCTTTTTCTTTTTTGTGGTTCTTATATCCAGTCCAGGGATTAGACACACAAGGAAAACACCCTACCGTGAGCTACTTCTCAGCCCTGATATGTATTCTTTATTCCTTTTTTTAATGAGTGTGATACACTCAGTCATATAATTCCTGAGTCATTGAAATTATTCTATATTTTCTAAAATGAGAAACTGCTCCAAAGGTATTACTGAGTTATGTTGAATGATTGTATCTTAAAAAGAATAGTCATTAGGGCTTTTGAAAATTTCCATTTCCAAACTGAGCATAAAAACATAAGTTTAAGGATTATATATATATA